TTTTTTACCTGACAGTGATTTGAGCAGTTGTCAACGCCCTTGATAACACAAGTTTACTGCAAAAATGGCCGCTTTCTTAGCAAAACAGATGGTAAGCATGGCTGTTGTTTGTCTCTCTCACACCTTCTAAACTTAATCCTTTGTAGGTCGGTAACCAACTTTCTGCGGTTAAAGGTTTGACATTTGGTGGTGCCGTGTCTTGTTTTTGCTTTTAAAGTTGACCACGCTTTTCTTCTATTTCAAGCAGACATGGGCGGCAACGATGCACCAACTCCAGAAGAGAAGGAAAAGTTGGAGCAGCTGGAAAGAGAGCGACTGGAGGCACTAAGGTAAGCTAGTTAGGCTCCGTATGTTACAATGTTTTTGTGTGTGTGCTTCAAGCTTTGCTGGCCTGCGGCGAATGGGTAGACTGGTGCAGCAGCTGCAGATTTGAATTTTGATTTCGAGCTTTGACTACTAACTAGACGTGTTTGGTAAGACTTGGTAGGCTTCGCTGGATGACGAGTTTGATTGAGCTGTTGTTAGTTGCATAGTTTGAGCTTGGATGGCTTTACCTTTTTCAGTAAAAGTTGTGAGTAGTCTTGAAAGGATACTTTGAGGAGTTAGAAAGGGAGTGAAATCAGGGTGAAATGACTCGAGGGGCCAAGTGAAACTCGAAGCGTTTGCTCCACACGTTTGCTGACCTGCTCTTGATCGACTTTGAAGAGAGCAAGAGGAACGGCGCAAGGAGAAACACTCTAAAATGGAGGAAGAACGGGAGAAAATACGCAAAGGCATTCGAGACAAGGTAGGGTGCAATGTTGCAAGTGCCAATCCGAATGACAGTGCCACTAATCTCACTCGGCTCGCCCCACTGGCTCCAATCTGCAGTACAATCTGAAAAAGAAAGAATCGCCTGGAGGCGGAGAAGACCCACAGGACCTGTCGAAGCGGGAGTCAATCTGCTCAGAGTCCAGTCTGAACCGACCAAAGAAGTCACCCGAAGAACTGGTGACAGAAGGCGATCCACAAGACGAGTTCTCAAGTAGGCATACCTTGTCGCGGCACACTGGCCGCCCATTTATCTCCCGCCATATAGTCTGCATGTCTCTAAGGATGTCCGAACCTAGATGTTGTTGTCTTGATGTTGTAGGAGGATTGTGCCGTAGTAGTGCTACCTAGTCAGCCTTCAGTCCTGACAATGCTACCCACTGAATGTGTACTTTGATGCGCAACCACTGCTACACTAACATTACTTTTTCTTTCTTCCTCCTTGTCTCTACCTCTTTCTCTCTGGTCGCCTGAACTTTCAGAGTTGAAAAGCAGCTTTGAGCAACGTTTTGCTGACTTTCGTGCTTCTCTAGAGTCGCGCTGTGTAGTTAATTAATTAGCAAAGTCGGTCTGCTGTGACGACAACGACGGTGCTACGGTGCTTTGACAACTACTGCAGCTATTGTGCTTCGCATTTCCACCACTATCACTTTTCATTCTCTTCATCACTTTTTTTGCTGCTGAAAAAGGCTGCACCCGCATCCGAAGCAGCGCACACAAAGGCTGAACACGTACACTTTTGAACCAATTTGAGTCCTCTGAACCGAAGCCACCCGTTTTATTTGTTCTCCATTGTACTTTTCCCCTTGTTTCTTCCTTTTGATCAACGAACAACGAATTTCCACTTTTTTCCTAATAACCTAACCTTGTTAAACAATGCCATCTATTTCCTGACATGTTATAACTATCACAATTTGACTTATGATATCCCCTAGTTTGCATTGTTTTGAACTTGTTGTAGTGACCGTACCGAAGACGTACAGCACTGTACTTGCAGACCAGCCATACAGTTCTCTGCACAGCTCAACCATCAGCAGATTGGTGCTACAACACACACACACAACTTACACCACACAAACTGACCACTCTAGAGAGGTCTGGTCAAACTAGAATCAATCAGGCTCTGCACAAAGTCCACAGCTGCAGTACACTTGACATGTTGCAGGCAATCCCCGAACAGCCACTGGGACCCAGAAAGTTGATCTACGCTGAGCAGCAAATAAAGGCAGTTCTGTTTACCCTCACCGTTCTGACACCCTTTTGTCGCATCGTCTTCTATATAGACATTAACATTTGCCTGGGCTTCACTGCACTGAATTTAGGCATGCAAGCCTTCGGTGTGAGTGTGTGTGCGTGGCTGTGTATGTGACTGGTGCCACATACGCTCTTCTCGAACGCTTCACTGGAAAGCGGCCATTTGTGTCAAGCCCCACTGAGCTCGGCGTCAGGCCAAGCTGCACACGGCGACGGTGATGGCAGAAGCGAGCATCACAAGACCACTCTCTTTCGTCGCTGTCACACAGAAAGCAAGAGCAGGCCTTCTGCCAACTTTCTGTTCAGCTCCTTTCAGTGTCCAGCTAAAGATGAAACCCGCGGACTAGTCGAGGCAGCCTGGGGGAGAAGCGTCCCTGCCGTGCTGCCTATCTCTTTGAAGCCAACTCCAATTCAATGGCCATTAAGAATATCCTCCAGATCCGCTGTCAATGGCACACTAAAGATAGGGAGAGAGAGAGCACCAGAGAGCAAAGTGGAACAATTTCTCTGCAATCAGCAATTGTTGGTCGTGCCGAGAATCGTGGTTGCTGCTTGAGTCCTTTTCGAGGTCGAGTCCTCTATCGGGTGCAGCGCCAACTGCAGCATCGATCGACGTTGGTGCGCGCGCTGGCGAAGACAACACACAGGCAGACAACGAGTTGCTGGAGAGCGCATTCGAAGGCAGTTCTCTTCAGTTGTCCGCGCTGGCGACGGCACAAGGCAGTGAGGCCATATATAGAGAGAGGCAAAATCAATCAGGAGGTGGTGGTGGTGGTGGTGGTGAGGAATTGACATTGGAATAGAGAAGGGAATCGCGCATCGACGCTACCCTGGCGGTGTGACTCTTTGCGTGTTCAGCAATGCGTAGAGCACCGAAGGAGTTTCTGGAGCAGGGAATTGTTTCAATCTTGTTGACTCAGAAGCAGGGATAGCTAGCTCCAGTGACGCTGTTCGGCTCAGAGACTGCCTCTTCTCTTCTCTTTCCTTCTTTTCCTTTCCCTTTCCTTCTCCTTCTTCCCAGCTGCCTGTGCTCTTCTTGGCGAGAGTGTGTCAGCAAGCCTAATCTGCCTGCACTGCTCGTCACTGCAATGTTTGCTGGCACAGTTGGCTAGCGCATTTGCTGTTGTGATATGCCTGGCACAGTCTGCCAGTGAATTGCACCTCTAACCACCACCACCACCATCACCATCACCACCATCCCCATCGCACCACCTCCACCACCGTCGCACCACTGCACCACTTTTTGCACCTTTTCCAATACAACCATTTTACACTTGGAACCAAAATCATAGGAAATTGAATTAAATTTTCTTTGCAAACACTGTCTCAACTGGCACTTGCCCTTCGCTGCAACCCTTTTACTTTGAGTAGCTCTGCTGTCAACCTCAAGCACTGAAGCAGTGCCAACAAGTCTCTGCAACTTTGCTGACTACCCTCTAAGCTCGTCATCTGCCTTCCTCAGCTGACCAGCGTCAATTATCTCGGTTATCGTGAATAATTTAGAGATTGCCTTCTTCTTAAATACCTGAATACTTTACCACTTCAAAATGGCTGCATTCATAGCCAAACAGATGCTGGGTGACCAGATGAGCGCCGTCAAAGGTATGTCTGGTAGTCCTTGATGTGTTGCGCACAAATGACCACTAGGTCAACAATTGCCTTCATTGTGCTGTTTATCATTTTCCCTCAGACATGGGCGGCGGCGAGGGACCAACTCCCGAAGAGAAAGAAAAGATGGAACAACTTGAAAAAGAGCGTTTGGACGCTTTGAGAGAAGCTGAAGAGCGTCGAGTGGAGAAACATCGAAAAATGGAAGAGGAACGAGAAGGAATGCGCCAGGGAATTCGAGACAAAGTATGTTGTTGTTGTTGTTGTTGCAACTTCTTGAACACCTTGATAACACTGAGGACATTTTGCTTTGACAGTACGGCATCAAGAAGAGAGAAGAAAAAGAAGCCGAACTGAAGAAGAAACAGGAAGAGAAGATGGGTTTAGGTCCTGGCGCAGGAGCTGACAGCGGGCTAAATCGCAAGAAGAAGACGCCCGAGGAAATCGCCGCCGAGCAGGCCGAGGCAAACCAGGATGACTTTACGAGTAAGTAGACCAACAGAGTGTCCCACTGACCGGATGACATCAACGACGACCTCTTTCACTCCTCTAGAGCTAAAAAACTCCATTGAAACGCAAGTGAATGACATTAAAGGTCAAATAGAAGAGAAGTGTTCCATCCAGTGAGGTGCTCGGTGGTTCTCAGTGCAGGTCTAATGACTGTGTGTCCTCCACGACCTCTGTCCTGAATCCCTTCACCGTCACCGTTACCTTACCCTCCTTTGTTCGTTACGTCATTTTGCGCTTAGGGAAGAACTAATTCAAGTTATTCTTCTAGTGCCACTATTAACCTTGTAAACATTGTGTGAGTACCTTCTTCATTTTGCTACTATACTTCATCCTCGATACAACCGTCGATTTACCGCTCCTCTGCTTGGAACAAATGAACTTATTTCTGCTGTGTCTTAGATCTTCTTCTTCTTCTTCTACTTCTTTTCCACTAATCAACGAATCTTTTGCCCGGATAGCTATCTATTTTCTAAGGTTCCATTGTTATTTTCTTATCTCTGTTGATTTGAACCTTCACAAGTTTTTTTCTTCAACGTTGCCGTCTTTCTGAGCATTATCTTCTATAGACTTCTCTCTTTCTTAGGCCTAGCTAGCATAGGCAAGTACACTCTGGGGTGTGTGAGCAGGCGCCAACAAGACCTCACCCATTGACCAGTTCCCTCGCTAAGCTCAGTTTCTCTATTTTCGAATGGACTGGTCATCAGTGTAGACGCAGCTGTCTTGTCTGTTCTCTGCCTGTCCGCTCACCAACCAGAGCCGACACTCGAGCTCGACCCAATGACACCAACACAACACCACTGACACCTGACAAATTTGCAAACACGAGACAACACACACACACTAACCCACACACACTTACACATTCCCGAGAACATACACACACACACAAACATTAACACACTTTAAGACGGGCCGGAAAAGAAGTGCAACGAACTCGTCAGCCACTGTTTCACAAAGAAGCCTACCCCAAACCCAATTCCCACCAACTGTCAGTCGATTGTGATTTATTCTACTTTACTGCTTCTGCAAGTCTTTGACATTATTATTCCTTTACAGCTTCTTTCTATTCTGGCTAGCCTTTGCTGAACAATGTAGCTCAATCTTTGCTTTTCCTGCGACTCACGTGTACTTAACTATACATATTCTATATTTTCTATAACCGTTTCGATTGCTTATATATTCTATTTTGAATACGTTTAGCTGTTTTTGCTGTTTTCATTCAGGTCTATACTTTTCCCTCCCATTTGCCTCTTTCTCTCTTTCTCTTTCTCTTTGACGGTTATTTACCGTGTAGTATTGCTCTGTGTTGCTTGACTTTCGGCAGTTTTGGTTGCACCGCAACTTTACTGGCTGCCCTTATCGATCTAGGCCACTGCAAAAGAGCGACAGCAGCAGCAGCAGCATTAACTGCTCGGATGAAGCGGTAGAGTTCCACTGTAAAGTGTGCAACGACAGTCCATCTCTGGCCATTGCGAGTGCCACCAAAAAGATAATGCTTAATCAGCACTCTATTTTTCTACCTTTCACTGTTTTCATTCATGCCAGCCAAGTGAGTGATCAATAATAGATGTACCTGTTAATGTTGCCCGCTTTGCCGATTAATTGTCGAATTAATGGGCCGCAATGCTGACTGTCGGTGGGCAGACTGCAATCTTCAGTCTCTCCAGCTCCCTCTTCCTCTGCAGCTGGCTCTGTTTCCCAGGCAGCGTATATAGTGGCCCAGTGGCGTCCTCTCCACCGCGGTCCTAGATTGGCCACCTTGGCCAGCCAGTGAATTGCCAGCAGCAATTAGTGTCTTTGCCGTATTCCTCGTACCGCCAATGCGCTGCCATCACAGTTCTTCTCCCCCTCCCCTCGGCACTGACCAGCCTGGTGCTGGCCAGTTTATGCTCATTAGTTTGGCCCTACTCCTCACCGGCCATGACCACCAAACTGGGCCAGCAGTAGTGCCTGCAGTGTTTCACGTTTCTGTTGCCTCAGTTACTGCTTTCTTCTTTTTTTTTGGCCAGTTTGTCATTTTGTTTGCATTTTGTTTGTTTTGTTTTGTTTTGTCTTTTTCCTTTTCTTTTTCTTCTTCTTTTTCTTTCTTTTTCGTTGTTGTCAATCTGCAGCTTTCGCCACTGAGCCCACTTGGCACGATTGCATGTGTTGCATGCCAACTGGAGCGAGTGCACACACAGTTCAGTGGAGTTGCATTACCTTTATTGTCATTATCACTATATTTCCATTTGGCCATTTCTCCATTTCTATACCATTTCTATTTGACGTTGCCGAGTGCGCCGGTTCTCGCGGCAGCCCGAGTGATTTCTACTGCTCTCCCCTTGTGGCTCCCTTCTCCCTCGCTCCCCAACTCTCTCTCTCGCTTTCCACTCACTGGCCACACATGACGCCAAGAACCCATCTGGCTGCAAGTGGGCTCAGAGAACGGTTGTTTGCGTCCAATTGAAGTCAAGTCCAAAGCAATGCTAGTAGCCTTATATTATTATCATTACTCTTTTTATTGTTAACTCATGCTTTTGTATCGCTTGTCGCTTTTAATCGCTTCTTCATTCATTGACTCCTTTCTCTGCCCTTACTGATGAGATGCTCGATTTCTTTTATTTTGATGTCTCTATACTTTGCTGATTTCACTCTTTTACCTTCTCTCTCTCTTCGTCGGCTTATTACCAAAGAGCTAGGGGACCTACGCCCAGCCTCCATCCGACCAGCTAGTGACCGACACCTGCAATGCCTCATAGTGGCCACACTCTGTGGCCGTGACCAGTCCGTTCCGAAGGCAGGGCAGTGATTGCCCTCCTATGTACCTCTCTCTCTCTCTCTCTCTCCCTTTCCCTCTGTCGCCCAAATCGATAGCCCACCTGAAACCCCTTTTCTCTCTCTCGCTCATCCCTAGCCAACTTGATCTCTGCTTTCCTCGATGCCATAGCCGCAGCAAGCAGCCTTACCGGTCACCTGGCCGATGCCTGCTGTCCCTCCAATCAGGTAGAACAAACAACGAATTTTGCCCTCTTTATCGTCTAGTTATCCTCAGCTAGACACACACACAGCATCGTGATGACACCGGCGGCCGACAGCCTGGGCCGCATCCCGTCCGAGCGACCCCTTTGCGGCTCGCCTCCCACTACTCCCTTCCTCCCATTCTCCCTTTCCCTCTCTTGCTCTCTCTCTCTACTTGTGTGATTGTTACAGTAGCTGCATAGTTGATGACCATCAGCCTATTCACTATGTCCCTCACAGCAGTAACATTTGTACTCTCTCTCTCTCTCTCACTCCCTGACCCACACACACACTACTACCACCACTACCATTCCGACAGCATTGACAGCA